ATAGGTACCTGAAACAATCCAAAGACAATCGTCGTGAAGGAAGAAAAATCTACTTTTATCAAGACAAAACTTATCTAAATTAGAGCCATACTGTCTCAAAGGTGTGGCAAGCCTTTATTGAAGGGTTATCATCCCGTTTGAAAACACCATCGGCAAAGTACGGAGAATCATTTTAACTAACACATATTCGGCAGTGATTCTGGTTTTTAACGACTTGTTACGTTTCGGATCCAAGAAAATTTGAAGGTTGGTTTTAAAAGATTTTGTTAAACCTTTGACCGAATACTGTATTCGTTATGCACAAGTCTTTTTACCATATTCGATAATGGAAGCGATCACCAACAAGTGCCTGGCGGAAAGACATGAACGGGCTCTTGGGAAAAGAAATATAGAATTCGATGGCAATATATTGAAAGTAAAGCTATTAAATCTTAAAGGAGACATATTGATTTTTAAGAGTGATGGGGAAGTTCTGCCAGTTACTGCTGTAAAAAACGTTACGCCAGATTAGGTGAAAAAATTATCTTACAACACATTCTAAAAAAGAAAGCATGATGTGGGATCTAGAAACAAAGTGATGTTTCCGTTGAACCTTTAATTATCAATATGACTAATAAGGATTGCAATAGTTCTTTATCTCATGTAGTTCTTTAGACGGTAGTTAATATTTTGATCTTTTGTGGATGTCGAATTACTTTGTAAATATTGCCTCATAATTATAGGTCAATTTATGGTAAAATTTACAACTTGAAAATAATCCAGGTATACGCCCCCACTAGGGACTATAAAGATGAACTTGCTGAAGCCTTTTATAAGGAAATTGAAAAAGCAATAACCATTACAATTTTATAATGGGAAATTTTAACGGCAAACTCAGAAAGAAAAAGGAGGAACAAGAAGTAGTTATCGTAGAATTTGGAACCGGAATAAGAAACGAAAGAGTCAAAGTGACAATACCGTACAAGTCACTTTAAGGAGGAAATACACCATTCAATTCGGTTAAATCATGTGGATGATTCAACCAAAATGAACCATGTATTTTGCGATTCAATTAAAAAAGTCTTCAAAAACCTTGGACGTTGAAATAAGGGACAATTTCTATTTTTGTTCAACTTCGTTGTATAATTGAGATAATTCATCCACATTGACCCGCCTATACAAGCTTGTCGATTGTGTTCGATTCAAATTCAACCATTATTTCAGTTTGACTTGTGAGGTGTGACTTTCGTGCGAATTTTTAATTTAACTTTCTCATATAGTTCTTCAAATCGGTTTTCGGACATGTAGATGATTCTTTATAACCTTCTAGATCTTCCGTTGCCATTTCCAGCATTAGCGTTTGTAACTTTCTCGTTTCGCCGAATCATCCATGGTCTAGTCCACCAACGCCGAGGTCTTCTTAAGTCTTTTCTGCTTATTTTTTGAGACCTTTTTTAATTTCCTCCCTTACAAATACTTGGAACATGAGATCAAAATAGGCAGAGACAAATAGGCCTGAAACGGGCGGCATTTGGCAAACTAAGCCATATTCTAAGTTAAATTCCCATGTGTCTCAAGCTAAACTTTAAACTGACGCAAAGATCAGGGAAGAACGATGAATGTAAGTGACGATAGTGGATGAAGACCAAATATGTGAAAGATGGAAATAATATTTCGAAGAGCTGCTATATGACGGAGTGGCTACTGAAGAAAATTATAATGTAATAATTTAATAAAATACCAAAGCTCACAAGAGAAGACATAATAAAACACATGCAAACTCAAAAAAGCTCCGGAGAAAGTGGCATTGTGGCAGAGAACTTAAAAATATGGAGGAGACTTAGCGCAACCAACTTCGCGAACTAATAGTAAAAGTATGGGATGCCACAGAAATGCCTCAAGAATGGAAAAAGTGCATTATAATTCCTATACACAAAAAGGGAGAACTGAATACACAAACTATAGATGAATAATCTTGTTAGAGGTATCGCCATACTAATTAAAAAACAATTAGAAATATATGTGAAGAATCTAGGAGAAAACCAGGGAGGATTTCACAAGGGAAGATAAACAACTGATCAAATTTTTATGCTAAAACAAATCCTGATCAATCACTATGAATACAACATTTCAGCACAAGTAGATTTCATTGATTACAAAGCCGCCTAAGATACAAAGACAGAAACAAAGTAATAGACAAGCTAAAAGAATTCCAAATGCTAGAAAAAATATAAAATTGGTAAAAATGACAACTAGACAACCTATTTGTGCTATGAACGCAACAGTACTGTCTCCGAATTTAAAGTGAAAAAAGATGTTCACCAAGGAGACCAGTTGTCTATCTTGCTATTCAATATAGTTCTAGAAAAATTTTAAGGGTTAGTGGAATAAATAGACCTGGTACTATTTTATACAAAGATCACCAATGCTTAGCATACGCTGATGACGTGTTTCTCATTGCAAAAGATGGAAAAGAACTGGCAAGTATAGCAAACAGGCTAATTTGGGAAAGCTCTAAAATGGAACTGAAAGTTAATAAATCCAAATACATGGAAATCTCAAGCAAAAAATGGATAAACGCCAAGGACTCTTTTAAATTAAAGGTGGAGGATGAATCAGTTGTAGAATTTGAAAAGGTGGATGAATGTATGTACTTAAGTAGCCTTATTGATCAGACATGCAAGGAAGAAACTGAAATCAACCCCAGACTGACTAAGAGCAACAGATGTGCTGGGGCCATGAACAAAATAATTAAAACCAAAGATATATTTCCTAATAGAAAAATAAGAGTAAAAAACTATAATTAGACCCACAACGCTGTACACTGCCAAGACATTGACTATGAACACAACCATACAGAACAGATTGGAAGCATGGGAAGATACTTTGTAGAATAATTGGTGGAAAATTAGTAGTAGGAGATTGGAGAAGACAATCTAATATAGAAGTGTACCAATTGTGCACAAACAATTATTAAAATAACAAAAGTAGTAAAAAAATGTAGACTAGAATGGCTCGGACATCTAGAAAGAATGCAAGGCAAGGTAATACAAAAGTCAAGAATATTGGTTAGAGAGTACCTGAGGGCAAAAAGGATGAAGACCAAGAAGGAAATGGAGATATAGTGATTGAGAATCAGAAATTGAAAGCTAACAGCTAAGGACAAAAAACGATGTAAATTATCCATCCAGCAATGGGTCTAAAATTTAGCAAGAAAACAAGATGAATCCTGGAACGGAAGACCACAAAATAATAGAGTAGAGGACAACCACAAACTAGATGGACCAAAAAAGCGGACTAGCTAGTGTAGAGAACATTGGAAGAAATTCATTGATTTGATAATTAATCATGTATGCCTTGTTCACCAAATACAATAAACTTTATGACTAGCTCAGCAAATAGAAAATTAATTCGCCAATGCATGTGTATTAGGCTCAGAATCCAGCTCATTTTTGGACAAGAGAGTAAAAACTAGTGATGTAACGAATATTCGCATTCGCGAATATTCGCATTCGCGAATATTCGCATTCGCAAAATTTGTGCGAATGTTTTGCGAATATTACACAGCTTGCATTTAGCTCGTTCAGTATCGAAAAGTGTGAAGTCCATATTTCACTATAATTTGATTTACTCATAGTAATAAATCGCTAATCACACTTTAACTAAAAATTCACTTGTATTTGTGCACGAGCAGAGCAGAGCAAGTGTAGTGACTTGTGTCCAGTGAAATTTTTATTGGAACTATAACCAGAGAACTTAGTTCTCTGCTATAACTTTCTCTCTATAACAAGTCAAATTTGATTATAACAAGAGAAAATAAGATCGAAAAACGTGCTTTCTACGTTTTTGGCCCGGACGTGACTATAAATAAATACCTTTTTAAACGACTCCTCAATAAACTTAACCGCCTACAATAAACTTCTTTACAATAAATACAACTGTTTCACATCTTTACTTTAGCAAATATGATAGAATGATACTGGACAATTTAAAGCAGTTAAAAAATGACAGACTTTTTTCAATTGCCTACACACCTCGCGCAAATGAGACTGCCGGAGACAATTAAAATTGCCAAATTAAAAAAAAACTGAAGATTCGCATTCGCGAATGTCGGTGGCATATATTCGCATTCGCGAATGTTTAAAAAATGACATTTGTTACATCACTAATAAAAACACAAAATTTTTCAGAAACACTTCAATATACTACTTAATTGTGACCCTATAGAATTCAAACAAGAGAAAACTTCACCATTTACCCTGGAAGAAATCAAACGAACCAACCTAGCAGCAGAAATATTAAAATCTGGTGGTTCTAACCTTGTTTCATAAGCACTGATAAATATTGTGAGAATTCACTACTTTTCTTCACATATTGGGTTAGTAAGTTTGGCTCATGTCAGTTTTAGTCGTTTACAGTTCATTTATGGAAGACTATGGAAGAGCAATTCCGCTGTAATAATTTCACTAAAAAAAGTTTACCGTTATCTGCAATCTCAAGAAATTTCTATTAGTCCTTATCACAAATCTTCATATGTAGTCTTTCTTTTGTGTATTTGTGGAGCTGTCAAACACTTGTTGCTATATTTTCATAGAAGTTATTATAAGATATCAGTGATATGTTTGCTAAATTTTCGAGCATCTTATGTTATTTGACTCTCATACTGAACACAAATTTTAGGGCCAATGGTTTAATGTACTTAATAGTTTCCTTAAGGCTCATAAGGACTTATCAATGTTAATGCCTGCTTTTCTTATATCTGGACAGTAATTTCATATATTCTTTGATATTTAAAAGTAATTTATCATCAGTAATTTTATGCCCATTGAATTTTTAGGTGTAACACTACAAAATTTAAAATTTTGCCTTCTTCACATCTATTTGTAGAAAATTTAATTAGTTTGGAGAGGTATTAAAAGGTTCATATAAAAATTTCTAGTTTTCTTTTTTAACAAAGAATGTATTTTCCAATTTTCCCTGTAAAAAAATTATAGTAGGCAAATTAAATGAAACTAAACATTATGAAACAATTTGTATCCATCGTTTATATGCACTCAAAAATCATACAGCACTGTTACAAAATGAATTTCTACAAGATCATTATGTTAAGTAGACAAACAGTTCATAAAACATTCTCTGTAGTAAAAATATATCGAATTGAGGCGCAACCACCCAAATTGTCGTTTAATTGTAAGTTGGAATGAACCTATGTCAAATGTCAATTACAAAATTTTGCAAAAATCTCTTACAATCAAAGAACAACAAAAATATGTATTATCAAAGAGCTAGAAGTGGTGTTGCTAATAAGTTATTGGCAATAATACAAACTTCTGCTTTCAACTTTGGCAACACCCTTTATAGCACAACCAAATTTATTACTAAATGTATCTATTATGTTTGATAATACATTTTATTGATCTATAACATGATAACCATAGAAATCAGATCTCTATTGGTAAATACAAGTTGTTATGTTGATGATTGATAGAAATAAAAATGTGAGTATTATCAGCCTTTAAATTAATTCAAAAAATTAACAATAACAATCTTTCTAATAAAACAATATTTTTACTATGAAAGATTATAATTACCATTATTTGCTAGTGTTTTAACCTACTTACATTTTTGAATTTAGACCAATCATACAGAAGACTTTTGTTATTTTCAATAAACATTTGACGAATGAATAAAAAAAAGTGCGAAGACTAGCACAGCTAATGAACGCAATTCTTTAAATAAAAATTAATTAAAAAATAATTACAATATCATACATACAGAAAACACACTGATCTAAAAACAGATTAGACTAAGTTCTATTTTAGCCTACAGTAACGCTTTATTGCCCTTCTGTCTCCCTCGTCAAAAATATTTGGTGGTATCATTACACGATAATGATTGATCACCATTCTAAAGACCATTATGTACTCCATTTTTTGTTTTAAGACTTCCGGGTGGGAGGTAGCAGAATATGCCACCCTTATGACATGTTCATCTTTTTGTACAATTAGTTAAATTAAAAAAGAAAATAAGAAAACCAAAAATCGTGTTTATGTCTGAGACCAACTTAAACTAAATTTATATCTATCTTTACACAAAATGGACATTTTTACAAATCGAAGGGGATACGTAATAAGTTAGAATAGTCAGGTACCGCGGGTCACGTGCAGTTCTCACGGTCACTGAAGAGCCCTAGCTCCGACGGCAAAGGTCACGAGGTAGCCTGTGGATAAAATGATGAAGGATGTGTCGATGGATGGTGTATTATATGAATGAAGTTATAACAACGGCGACGTGGACATCCTGGCGTTTAAGGCGCACTGAACAACGACTAATTGAAAAAGAAAATAAAATGTCCACAAAGTAACTCGAGACTTTGCACTGAGATAGTCCGCCAAGTAAAGTTCACAGGGTTTGACGGCACCCACTTTATTATGCGTCTTCATCCTCTTCTTCTTCTACACCCTCACCCTCTACATCCTCTTCATCTGCAACAAAAAAAATATGATTATTGATACAATCTACGAAAATTATAGACAAAAAAAAATTGAATTGAATCAGTGAAGGTATTTAGAAGATTTTTAAATACAAGGACAAGCTAGCTGATCAAGAAACCATATTAAAAATTTAAAATTGAATACTGACAATTTATTATGATTTTTGCAACTTCTCAGAATGAAAACTGGCATCTAGTATATGGACACTATGCACTGTTAGTGTAAGTTATTATTTGATATTAGAGAATAAATTTTAACCATGCGGAAATGATATTCTTGTATTTGTTATTTTATGGTTTGGAGATATAGCACTTGAATGCAGTTCTAGAAATTACAAAATTTAATTCATAGGAAGTACTGGTAGTATTTGCTGATGGCAGGCAGTATGTGATGTAATTTTTGAGAAAATTTTTTTTTTTTATTATTTACCCAAACATTTTAGTCAGATTTTCTTGGTTTCTGTAAAAAGGGACATTTTTTAAAATAAGTTTTTTGTGTATTCAATATAATCAATTTTTTAATTCATTTTATACTTTTTTCAGCTTTTTCATTTATAGAAATGTGTTTTATCTACATTGATTTTAAATGACATGATGCCTCTTTAATATTGAAAATATATACTATCACAGATTTTCAAATATTGTTTATCTTATTCAAAAATGTAAGAGAAATACATTGATCCTAATTTTATACTTTAGCCTGAATTTAGAAAATGATAAATTTAAATTTGTTATCAACATAAAACGTTTTGAGATAGCAGAAAAGTAAATACAATTTATTTACTTTTCACATTTTAGATAATATTTTTGGTGGGAAATATGGTTCCAAAACTTGAGATAACATAATCCAGTTTTTAAAATTACCAATACTAGCAGAAGCACTTTTGATATGAATTTATATATAAACTTACCTTCAGCCTCTATTTCTTCATCATCCCCTTCAACAACATCTTCTTCGCCCGTGTCTTCCTCTTCTTCGATGGCCTCTTCTTCTTCCTCATCTAAATCTTCACCATCTGAATTTGCGCCATTTTCTTCTTTTTTCGCTTTTTTGGGGTCTTCTGTTTTGTCCTAAAAACATGATATAAAGTGAAAACTTGTATAAATCAAATATAAATATTAATTTAATCATTATGAAGCTTTGCCAATAATACAAAATTGGATGGAAAAAAAAACTTCTGAAGCTATTATTGTGTGGTATGTTTTACATAAGTTGCATTCTTTTTTTGAGTTAAATCACTAGATTACTTGTATTTTGAAATCAATTTCCTGATAGCCAAACATTAATACAGGTCATCATCCAGAATGTGTCTTCCTGTTTGGTTTTCAAATGAAACAAATATTAAACTTGATGTAGGAGCAATTATACATAAAATTTGCAATCAATCGACACCTTACATATAAGCCTGCTCAAGCATCAAATTCTAAGGTTTAAAACCTTGACATTTCATCTACATTTGCTGCAAATGTTATCAACGGATATGCTAGAATGGGCATATACATAATGTAATGTTGCTCCACTTGATCATTTCATCAACCAAATCGCCTTTGATGTTTGTCGCAGTTGTAGACAGAAACCCCAGGAAGAAACAAACTCTGGACCACAACCTATAAACCCCAAATTTGCACCATTATAAACATCTATACCACGAAAGCCTACATTTGTTGATAAGCCTAAATAAATATGAAGAAAAAAGAAAATTAAATGACAATTTGGAAGAAATCTATCAGATTGTATATTTAAGGCATGTGCTACCAAAATTTTCATGACTAGGCTTCGAATTGTGAAATCCATTTGAAAAAGGTGTGATAAGAAGAAATTATCTAAGAAGTGAAGATTGCAGTGAGATATTATCACTTACAAACAAATATTTCAATGATTTTTTTAAGTAAATACTTTCAAACCACTAAGAAATCAAGCAACTTTAACTGAATTATGTAAAGCTTATCAGCATGCTTATTTTTTAAATATAAAGATAAAATAATGGGATAAACATGCTTTCTAATCACAAAAATAAGCAAATATTTGATTATCAATTAAAAATATCACTTATCAATTATTGTATCCCTTATTTCCTGTAATAAAAACGATAGAGGAAAACCATTACAGTTATATTAGGAATAATCTACAAAATAATTAATTAGTTAATAATAATTCATACAAAGGAAATCTATTTTTAATTATACTTTTGTAAGATACAAATTAGATAAGTCATAAATGAACTCTCATAAAGAGAAATGACAGTAAATTAAACAAATATTTTTAAAACTGTCTTTAATTTGAGAATAAATTACAGAACTTTTAATTTTTCACTTTATTCTCAATTAATAAATCTACTGAATAAAAATTTAAGTTACACAATGAAGATTGTGTAAGGTTTTCCAAGGGCCATGATATAATCATGATACGAAAATAAGGGATTCAAAGATATTAAATGTAATAAGGATAATGAACAATGAATGAAAACTCATAAATATGACTATTCTCTCACTCACTGAACTTCTAGTTAACAGTTAAAATAAAAAACGAAATCAGAACTAAACAGAAAGAAGTTATTTGACTCAACAAGGGCCTAATTCTCTGAGAAATTTATTATAAAAATATTGCAAAAGGTTAAATGTGTAGTGAGAACAAATAATTTCGTGGCATTATTGAACTAATAATAAGAAAGTGAGCTTTAAAGTATACGATAATCCTAATTAATAATTAATTCATGAGTAAGATTTAATTAACATAATATAAAAGTAAAAGACCTCTAAAAGGTCGCTACCTGGGCAACAATAGAGAACCCTACCATATGCATTTATAAAAGGAATTTTAAATAAAAGCTTGTATACCCTAAAACTGTGTACATCTGCCGAAGATACAAATTGGCGCCAAAAATAAAAAAAAAAGTGCACGAAACGCGTGCCACTGCCTATCCTGCAATAAAAAAATGTTCAGCACCTGTGACACCGGAAGTTACATTTACTTTGCCGGTTGGCTTGGCTATAATGCCATTAATTTCTTTCACAGAACAATCTAGATTATACAAAAAAAACTTTTATAAAAAATGTATCTATAAAAAATAAAAAAATAGTAAATAATAACTCTTTTGAAGTTCTAAATATTAAAACCACAACTTAAAGCAATTTCCATTGTTCAATTATGAATCTCTAATTGTTAATTTGGATAACAAGACAAAAAAGAAATAAAATAAAGGAACTAATAAAAATACTGTAATAATCACATTACAAGAAAAATTAATGATAAACGTGAATTAAAAGTATCTAGCCTCACACAGGGTACCTTGGACGTAGATATTGATTTCGCCATATTGAAACCAGCAAGCTATGCTAGCCTCCAAGCGGGAGTCATAAATATCTGGCGGGATGCTTCGAGCGAATGCCTAACATGTTTATCAATACTGAAATAAATTATATTTCGCCCAACATACGAGAAAAACGACAGGAGCTGGAACATACCGAACCTAAATATATTTAAGAGTTATAAGAACGCCATTATAATGCATACGAAGCGTCATTTTTTCGTAAATCGGCGTGGTCAAACCTCACATGGCAACAAGCTTCTTAAATTTAAAAATAAAACATTCACGAAAGTTACTTTACAATGACAATAATGTTATTAACATAATTGCTAAGTATTGACTTTGTGACATGACAAAAAGTCGTTATATTCATCAACATTTTCCCAAATTCTGTCAAACAGAAAAATGCAAAAATATTAGTAAAATAAACTTACCTCTGCCGCTCGCTTCGTTCCTTTTAACTCTGCTTTGCCATCTGCACTTTTTTCGTTGTCTAATTTCTCGACTGCAACTTCGTTATTTTCTTTGGAACTCATTTTGTTTATATTTTGATTGGGATCGATTCCACTTGTAACGATCAAAGCTCGACGCACTACTGACCGGCTCGTAGCTAGCTTTGTTCAAAAACTAAGATGGCGCCGCTCGAACCGAGTAAAACCGTGATTTCCCGATTAACCGGCTTCCGATCTACAGTTGAGTTTATGCAAAAGTAAAACAGAAAACGTTTTTGACTTCAATTTAAAGCTTTTTCATTTCTGAAAGTTTCTAATTTGTACTATCAATTTCTTGAAATTAATTCCCAAATTTTTTAAGGGGGGGTTAGAGTGGCGACTTCGGGTTTTTGATTCAGTCCGAGATTACAAATTATTTGATGTATGCTTCCGCTAGGGGCGCTATTTCAAAAAATTACTGCCACTTGTATACCATAACTTTTCCACATTTCTCAGAAATCTAAAGTTGTCTACTACCCTAATTATTATTTTTATTGCATATTACGATATACAACTAAAATTATTTCAGTAAATGGTGTAGAATTTTTGTGGCATGGGTCTATAGCCGGTGTCACGTTTTTGTTGTTTTCCCGCCAACAGAGTCGCTCTAGGTATGCCAACAATCTTTCCCCCCTAAACGTTAGGATAATTATTGTTTTCGTTCTAATAATACAATATACCAAATTCACATATTTACATATTTATTTTGCAACTTTCTAATAGAACGATCCTGAAAAAATATCGTCCATATTTTTGTGCAGTAAGGATTTGCATACGAGGGTCGATTAGAATGTTTTGTGATTCTAATATGGCCAATAAATCAGAAACAAATATTGATTGGTCTATTTAATATTTAGTAAACAAAAACAGCTATCAAAACACAAACAATATTGTGTTTGGATGGAATAAACATGGATGGATATATGTTTATTTACATAGTGAAAATGAGTATTAGGCATAGGGGTAAAAAAAATATCCTTTAGAATTATAACACAGATAGTGGACAATAGACGTATTTCAACAATTGCTTAATACGTGCAACAATACGTATTATTATAATTTATTATAAACTCTTAGAGAACATAAAACAGCTGGGTCTAAATGAACATTTCTATAAGGCCGTGCAGGAAGCTGTACCCCTCGCAACGTCCAGATGTGTACGAAAATTTTTGGCAGATACTCCAACCAAGTTACCTAGGGCTCGATAACACGGAAAGAGTTCCACAAGAGCTCAATCCTTTTGATACCGTGTAGGTATCTGTGGTGAGTGAATTTTTCCCTTAAAGGGAGTGTGAGCCGTATGGATTCACTACCTTCCCTTGCTCAACCTTTTCCATCTCTCTCTGTTGTCTATTCTCCATCGTTTAGGCCTCTCTTACTCATAGCTTAATCTACTTCGTTGATCCAGGATCTTCGGGGTCGTCCTCTTTTCCTCCTTCCTATGGGGCTCCATTCGGTTATTCTCTTTATCCATCTGCTGTCGCTAGTTCTTCTTACAAGTCCATACCACTTTAGTCTTTTTTGTTCTATATATGTTAGTATGTCTGTTTCTATTGATGTTCTTTGCTTTATTTCGTCATTACTTCTCGTATCCATTCTTGTTACTCTGCAGCATCTTTTTTTCTTCATATTTATGTGTCTACCCCATCATACTGAGTTAAGTGGTCCGATTGCTGTTCTTGTTTGTCCTAATCTTTGCGTAATTTCTTCCTTTGTTGTTGCCTTTTTCGTGATTATAAACCCCAAGTATTTGAATTTATCTTTTCCTTCGATTTTTACGTTGTCGTCAATCTGTAGATTCTTTGTTTTCGCGAGGTTAATATCGAAGCCAGCTTTGGTATATTCTTTTTGTAGTTTCTTCATCAAGTAACTGGGGCCTTCTTGGTCTTGTGAAATCACTACTTGATCGTCTGCAAAGTCTAACGTATATAGGTATTCGTTTCATACCGGTACTCCCATGCCAACGCATTTTCTTTTCCATGTAGTCAAGGCTTTCTCTAAGTATATTTTCAATAGGGTTGGAGATGTGGAATAACACTGCAGGAGCCCTTTTGTTGTGGTGAAGTCTCTTATGATTCTTGTTCCCATTTTAATGGACACTTTATTTTTTTTATAAAGAGATTTTGTAGCTTCTATGAGTTCCGTCTGTATTTCTAATTTGTACATTGCCTCCCATAATTCTGGCCTTGGTACAGAGTCATACGCCTTTCTCAGGTCCACAAATGCCAAATGTATGTCTCTGTTTTTTGCTTTCTTCTTTTCCAATAGTTGTTCCAGTGTGTATATGTGGTCTATGCAAGATCTTCCTGCCGTGAAGCCTGCCTGATCCTCCCCGATTTTGCCTTTTATCGCTCTATCTTTTCTCGCAGTATCTTTCCATATAAAATCTTCCTATTGATGATATTATGCTCTGTTCCTTATTCCTCTGTAGTTTTCGCATCGTTTTCTATCTCCTTTCTTAAATATAGATGTCATATATGCCTCCGTCAATTCCTTTGGGAGCTATTCTCCATTTATGGCTTTCTGAAATAACTATTTTATCATCCGAAGTAATTTTTTTAAGCCGTACTCTATAAGCTCAGGTGAGATGCCTCCAGGTCCCGGTGTTTTATTATTTTTGATTACTTTTATGGCCGTTCTTATTTCCCTCTCTGTTATTTCTATTTCCTGTGGTGGGGATCTGCTTCGTCTTCGCCTATTTTCTTTTCCAATGCATTGTGGTCTTTGTTCTGTTAATAGTTCCTTGTAATAGTCCCTTCATTCTTTGTCCTGTATATTTCCCAATTTAATTTTTTCTTTTGAGTTGCGTTTCCATCCTCTCAGTACTTTCCATGACTCCGAAGTTCTTGTACCTCCTATATATATTTCAATATTTAATCATTCTTCTTTCTTTTGTTGTGTTATTTGTTTTTTCACTTCTCTATCTTTTTCTCTATATTCTTTATAAACTTCATCGTTGTTTATAGTCAGCCATTTTCTGTATAGTTGCTTTTTTCTTTTCAATTCAATTATTCTTTTTGTTGGTTCATTTATTTCATAATAGTGCTGTTTATTTGTTATATGTCCTTTCTCTCCAAGAGCTTCGAATGCTGCTTTTTTTAGACTTGCCTTGCGACGCTAGCATGTTTCTTCGATGTTGCCGTATCTGAATTCTATTAATTTTTGGTCTAGGCGTTGTTTGTATAGTTCTCTTATTGATTGTTGGAGTCTTGGAGTAGTTCTATATTCTATTGTTTTTCTCTTATAGTATTCAAATCTGGATTATAATTCTCATTATTACCGAGTTTCTAATGCTTTTGAGCTTGGTCATCCAGTTTGATTCCACATTGAAAACGTGTTTTGTCTCAGTTCATTTGTGGAACAGAATATACCATTAATTCTTTATTACTATTATTTTCATTAAACCTCTACCTGAACACGCCATTATACAGCGATATGGACGAATGTCTTCCAACGATAGACAAAACGAAACGAAAATCCTGCGCTGAACCAAAACAATAATAATAATATTGTATATATGGCAGGATGGTACAAAAATAAATGAAATGAACATATCAATCAAATATGTGAAAATATAACAGTTAAAATTTCTGAGCTTTGATACTACAAACTATCCTTTAAAAACTCTTCCGAGAGACGTAAGATTTGTCGTGGTGGACTAGCTCTTGGTTGCTGTTACTATAAAGTAAGCTAAGAACAGCTAAAGAGGGTATTGGGAGATACTCAGGTTTCATTAGTTAGGGAAACTCAAGAGTCATAACGCCTCTTGAGTTTCCCAGAACATTATTTTAGGTTTTATGCTTGGTTATCGATTCGGAACATCAATCTTCTTTATTTATTCAACATATTCATTATCACAATGTCCCAATCACATAGTTACGCAAAATATCGAATCGAATTGAAATACCGAATATAGATTTGTCTTAATAAGATAACAAATTGCTGATCTTAGCTGGTAAACTAATGTTAAGACGGATTAAGTCTAGATACAGGTTCTTAATCTAATCCCTATGATTGACACATTTGAGAAATACATGATTTAAATCTCCGATAGATTCCTTATTATTTACACTAATAGAAGAGAGTCTCATAGATTCCAATCCTATGAAGATGTCGTGGGAAGAGACCATGGTTAAATTTTTAGCCTGGTTATAAACGAGAAATGCATTTACTACAGTATAACTGAAATGAGGAATACCTTTCGGTAAGCATGGATGAATAGTAAAGTTATATTTTTTAATGTCTTCTGGATCTCTTTAAATTTTGACCTCAAACTTTCCTTGCTTCATGATAATAGAAAACAAACCTTTAAAGTTGAAAATGTTTATAATTTTTAATATATCACATGTATTTTTTGCCATGTCATCCACTATTTCGTTTCCAATTGCTCCATAGTGTCTCTTAACCCAAAGTAAAGTAACTGTTTTCTTTATGTATTTTAGATCATGTAATAATTTTTGCAAAAAACAATAGTTGTCAACAGCAACTGTCAGAATACAAAAAAAAGTTCACTGAGAACTTTTCAATAGTCAAGGAACAAATAGGCTCACAGAGGCGGCCATATGATCTAATATATGGTCACAAATAGTCTGAGAGTCTGACACTATTACAATGTTCTCACAAGAATTAGTAATACACCAAGTTAATACTTTATGCATTGTAGCTACATCAGCTGTAAAAAAAGAACAATGAATCAGGAATTTGTCTATCAGAATTTCAAGCTATTGATTGTAAACAGGAAATTTTGTTAGCTATAAAAAAAGACTCGTATGAATTCGTAACACTCATATATCATGTCTGAGGACCAGAGCTTTTTATCCTCCAGTATGTAAGGATTTGTAAGATTTTCTCAAAAAAGTAAACCTATTTTATGAATAAAAGCTATATAAACTAAGTTATTGGCTAAAATTTGCCTATTAGGGGTTTCTGCTAGAATTATTTAGTTGGGTGAGGGCATCATAGCTCCTAGACAATTTTTGATTGAGTTAAATTGTATTCAATCTAGTGTTCAAAGAATTGATAGATTCGACCGTTACTTGATGGAAATTCATTTTATGTAACAATAAAACGCTGAAAACTTTGTTTTCAAACTTCCACAAAAATTTA